CGTGATAGGTGGCGCTTTAGATAACAATAAGCTTAAGAAAATGGATCAGATTATGGTATTCGATTTAAAGAAAACTCAATGGATTTCGGTGGTAATTAATTTAATTTAATTTAATTGAATAATTAAAAAGAAAGTATAAAATAATTTATTGTGTTTCTCAGCCAGCAACTGGTTCTGTCATTCCTTCAGAACGTCAAGGTCATACAGCAGTTGGCAGTAAGTATATTTAATTCTTTAAATTCATGCTTGCGTTTCCCTCTATCTCACATAAACAACAATAAACGCATTTATACTAGCATGGGATAATAAAATTATAATTTACGGAGGAACATTGAATTTCACTAGTTATTTTAACGACCTTTATGTATTGGATGTGACGACCTATCCATGCACTTGGACAAATATAGCAACAAAAGGAATTATTCCTCGCGGTCGGACTTCTCATACGATGGTTATGGCTGGAACAAATTTAATTATAACTTTTGGTGAGAATACGCATCATTAAAATTAAGAATCGATAATTTATAATAGCTTATAATAAATATTTTATTTTATTTTTTTATTAGGTCAGCATGTAAGTAAAATCTTTATACTTTTTGAAAATTTCATTGTTCTTAATGCTCTCGAATACTTTTTTAGGCGGATCAATTGAAAGATGGTTATCCAAACAATACCTTAGTACTCGACACCACAACATATACATGGCAAACAACATACACACCTAACAAACTAGAACTCACCACACCCCCAAAACCTGAAATCACATATGATACAAACACGACGAACGGAACAAATCCAAATACCACTTCCTCAAGTTCGTTTTCTTCATCTTCAAATACAGACTGCGGCAGCAGTAAAATAGCATTAATTATAGTAGTGATAGCGATAGGCATACTATTATAGTCAATTATACTTCTTTAAATGGTCTAATGAAAGCGTCACATATTCCAACTAAAACGGAAGAAATGGAAAGAGGGACAAATACAGCATCAGCATTTGGATTGGGATTCAGCGAATAAGTCTGTTGCTGTTGAGGCGTTAACTATTTGCAAGATTTTATTACAGTCGAATCTCCATAAAAGAACACAATCGGGATAATCAATTATGTTCTTTTAGAATTAATTTCTATTATATCTATTGATTCTATAGAAAAATGCTCCTTGCAGATTGTTCCTTTATAGAGAGTTCTTTTATGAAGGTCTGACTGTATAAGTTTGTATTTAGAATTACCTTCTATATCGATATAGCCATGTTGATAAATAAAGCTATCAATTTACTAATCATGCAATAAATTCTTAAAGGTTGTTGATTTCCATTGACTTTAATCACACCAGTGTTGGCTAATGACCTCATATTGTTTCGCCCAATTTGATATACAAAGTGTCTCCAAATTAGGATTTCGGTTAGGGCGAAACTGAAAGTTCA